TTTTTTAAATAATGATGATGTTTTAAGTGGTTCCTACATTAATTTTTCAAAACCAACAAAATTTCACGTTGCCGGATTTAGAGCTACATACCAAACTCTCGAAGTACAAGAAGTTAAAAATGGTAATCATAATATGTCTATAATATAGACATTGGAATGAAAAATGGTCTCTAATAACAACAATGTACGGTTGTTGTACTCAATGGGCCAATCTTGTTTTTGCTTTTAGAGCTTTTTAAAATAAATGGGCGATTCTACGTTAAGAGGTTCTTTCCGCGGCCACAATAAAAAGAGCACTTTTTTTTAAATATGCTAGAAATTAGATTCTTATAATACAGTGTCTTCTTTAGTGAAAGTGAATTTCAAAAGTTTAATTTACTTAGTTTTGTCATAATCGCCCCTTAACCTTAAACAATGTCTGGTCTGTCCTTTTACTGTTTCAAAGATAAATGTTTTAATGGTAAATCAGTACCTAACAAATAAATAAATAAATTCGTATATAAAATAATAAATAAAATGACAGGAGTGTAACGTTGTTGCTTAAGTTTAATAGATAGTATATATTAAACTTAAGCAACAACGTTACACTCCTGTCATTAGGACCGTATCAGTGGCGGCTCGTCAGGGTAGGCCTCTGAGGCCTCGCCTCACCCTTAAAATGAAGGAACGAACGACTTTTTGTATTTATATTTTTGGCTATTACAAGTGTATTTTTACAACAGTTCTACCCAATAAAAAGTAAAAAACCAATCAATAATATTAAGCGTAAATAAAAATCCAGGCGCAAAGCGCGTCAAGTTAACGTGCATCGTTGAGAGTCGCTTGTTGTATGTATCTTGGCTTGGACAGAGGCGAAATTTTCACAGCCTCGGAAGCTCCCATTTACGTCTTGAAAGCGAAAATGACTCACCAACAAAAATATCGCCGTAAGTTCGCGAATAAACACCGTAGATGAGGCGAAATTAAGTTAGCTTGGTTTGTTCTGATTGGTGGTCCGTTTATGGTGGGATGCCAGCGGAGACAAAGAAGGTTGCCAGCAGTGTTGCCAATGTACGTGGAAATCCACGCATTGTGTGGAATTTATTTTGTTGTGTGTAATTTGTGTGTAATACATAAATGTGTGGAATTTGCGTGTAAACTTTATCTTTAAATTAACAATGCTTATAACAAGCATTTAAATAGATATATTTGCAAATGCGCATTTTAGTTATTTAGTTATATGGACGAATTTCTGTGCAGATTTCTATATATACAGCAAAGTGATTTCGGCTTAATTTAAAAATTAAAAAAATCTGGTGTTTTTGGAAACTTGCAAGCGTAAGTTATCGAGTAACTTAAAACCGGTTATAACAATAGACTTTTTGACAAAGTAAGTAATCTAGTAAGTTTTTGAAAACGCCTTTAAGTAATCACCAGTAATTACCGCAGAAAGAGTTTTTGTGGTGATTCACCTCAGAAACTCTTTCTGCGGTAATCACCAAAGAAACCTAACAAAACCAAAATCCCAAATGTGTGGAATAGTTGGCAAAATTGTGGAATTTTGACAGAATCTGTGTGTAAATTATGTCAACACCATTGGCAACACTGGTTGCCAGTCTTCTCTTAGCGTTTGTCGAGCACGTTATTGTTTTGATTCAGATTAAATTATTTAAAACTTTTGGCTGATCTTTTATAGTTTTTGTCTCGATTAGTAAAATTTCTTATTTAATTATTGTAGGGAACACACTAAGGTAGATTTAGCAGTTTTTATTAAGCAAATTTTATATTTTGAAATAATAGATTGCATAATTCTTCAATTAGAGACGCGGTTTGAAAATTTAGAATTACTTTTAAATCTCACTGCAGACCCACAATTTTACGACCAAATAATAGATATATCTATCTATATCTATAATTTATATATATATCTATCTATATCTATAATTTATAAATTTTCAATCTTAAAAGATAGACGTATAGTATTTTATATTTTTTAATACTTAGGTAGGGATCGACTTTTTAGTTTTATTTTTATTTTTTGATTAATTTATTTATTTTTAACTTTTTTAAGACTATTTTTTAAGTTTAAGATTAAAACTAGTCTTTGATGTGATATTTTGTTTGTTTTGTTTTTTAGAGTTTATTTTTTGGTTTAGTAGTGCTATCGGCTCCATTTTAAAAAAGGTCAACGCGTCGGAGAATAATACCTCCCGGGTAGGCTTGCCAGATATTAATTTCGAAAAAGGGGTATTTGAAAGGTGACTCCAATTAGCATTTAAATTGAATACTGATGATCCTCAAACTAACAATAATTTTACAAATCTTTATTTCGTCTTTTTTTGCTCCGTTTTGGTTGAAATTCTTGCGATTTTTCATCATCAGTGTTATAGTAAGTTTCTGATGATGACATATTGTGCAGTTGTGCAATCTATAGTAATTAAAACGAAGAGATTTTGTTTATAAATACAAAACAAATTCAACTAAACTTACTTAAGAGCAATTGCACTGGAAACCCTTCACATTAACTCTGTACACTTAAGTAATTAAGTAAAAATAGAAATTAAAGACACCAAACTAAATTAAGAAATTAAAATTACTTAGAATAGTCGAACTGCTGTGCTCTACGTAATCTCGTATAAACGTAATGCGCAGTCATGATGCGCATCGCTCCCAGTAGTAATAAAGGCGGTAGACAGGAGATGTAAAAAGCGGTAAATTTGAATTAGAAAATGGTAGAAATGATAATTTAATATAAGATAAAGTGCTGAGTGCCGAATGACCCATGTTCGTTCAATTAATTAATTAAGTTTTATGTAAAAATACACCCGTATTTTTGGTACCCCTTTTAAATTTTTAGAAAAAGGGTATTTTTAAAATTCTATATAGAAAAAGGGGTATTGTACCCCAAAAAGGGGTACGTCTGGCAAGCCTACTCCCGGGTGACGTGGAAATTTATTCGTATTAAGACAAAATTAACCTTATGTAGCCTCACCCTCATGTACACCCACGAGCCGCCACTGGACCGTATTCCAAATTATACAAGAAGATTCTAAGAATGTGGGGAAAGTAAAAACAACACCTCAGTGGGGTAAACAACCGCGCGCTGCAGATTCCGAATTCCGGCAGACCCGGACAGAGACCCTGATAAAATACAAGACCAGCAAGGATGTCCAAGCAACATACTAATAACCCAAGCCTCATTCATGAACTCCAACTAAATAAGTTCATTACTAATACCCTGGTTGAGGGGGAGTCCGGATTGTACTTAGTTTTGGGGCAGATCAAGGCCCCCAAAACCAACTTTACCCCTCCTAGTCCTACTTTCATTAGCCTTAATCGGGCGTATGGTCGGCCCGGCGAAAAAATTCCGGGAATGGCCGGATCCACCAAACACAGGTAACGGTGTGCAGTGGCGGGATAAGTATATAACCGAAAGGGGGTAAAATAACCCTGGAAGATCAGTATAAGGCGTAGCCGATGGGGCCTGCCATACGTTGTTATACGCATACTCATACTCACTCATCTTATAATCTCAGTTGTTACCTACTTATTACAATCTTGAATACGAAATTTAGAAAGTTCCATTATCATTTTTCAAATTTATTTTATCTTCTCTTTGGATTTTTTCTATGGAAAGCTGAAGTTTTTTTATGTCGGTACCCTTTGTAGATTTATTACATTTTTTACACTTAGCCACAGCACAGCTCGGCATTGTAAATTAATCCCACAATTACAAAAACGATAAAAATAATAAATTTTAATACCTCACATTTATATATAATAATAATACACAATACGCACAAATATCTCTGGCAGAGATTCTCTGCTTATAAAATAATAAACATAATAAAAATTACTAATTAAACACAACAATATCATTAAAGAATGCATCAGCAAGTCGAATATCTAGTTTCGCCGTATATATAGGTAGTACTATAATAGTACCATACCGTATTTATGTGTATCGTGTTAATAGAAAAAAACGTGTTCACCGTTTTGATTATTACCTTTATGTAAATAATTTATATTAGACCCATGAGTAACAAAATATCCGTAATTACTTTTTCAACTTCAGTCATTTTGTGTTGGGTACATTGGATTATTTAGCCATTAATCTGTAACATCGTCTTCATGTTGAGGAATTTTATATATTAAATTTTGATTCTGAGGATAAACCACTGGTGTGACTAAAAGAATCTCGTGAAGATGGACCATCCGGGAATAATGTATATACTATTAATAACAGTTTATAAATAATAAATTACAATACAAGTAAATTCATGAAAAAATTAATGCGTTTCTTCTATAATTTTAGTCTAAAACCATCCCCTATTTATATTCTATGCTATCCTGTAGACCTTGTCTCTTTTCTGTAGAGAGTATCAGATATGCACGAAGTTGCTGTTTATATAAAAAATAATAATTTAAGATTAAATTTTGAACATTTTTGTTATACATCATAACAAAAATAACCTCTTAACGTAGAAACCCCCCGATACCAAAGTTTGACAAAAATGGTGTTACTAGTAGTAGCTACTACGCATAATTTTAATTTCTATAATAATTATAAACAAATTATTTGTTTAAGTAATTTAAATTTATTTTCAACAGTATCTTCATGTGTTTATTTTTTTTCGTAATACATAAGATATACCTACTATTATAGATTGAATGATATTGCCTATAATAGGCAATAACATTAAATCTGATTCAGGTCCAAAATTTCATCGAACTAAAACTTACACAGTTATCTTTTTAATTAAATTTTCCGGGGTATATTATAAAATGCCAAATAAAATAGCGAGTGTAAAAATTAAAAAAAAAAAGTAAATAAGGTTGTTTGCGATTCTGGTAGCTCCAGAAGAGTAGCTTTTTGCTAAACTTCGTCCATTTTCTATTAATAAAGGCAATATTATTATTATTATTTCTTTTAAAGCCGAGACACTTTTCAACAAATTCTTCTATATCTTTAATATATGTTGAATGGATACCATAATAAAATAACAAAACTTTGCTTTAAGCTTATTTATATACTCAGGATTGCAACATGATTTTGGTAGATTCGTCCCAACTTTTAACAGGTGTACCTATTAATACAGGACTTTATTTTGACGCACATCCTGTTGGCATATTATTAGCTAAGTTCATAGACTATTTGATAATCAAAGGATTAAAATTAACCGATTTGGAACTCATTGGTATCAGTATGGGAGGACAAGTTATTGGTATAGCCGGGGCTGCGATTAAAAGTGGAAAACCAGCTAAAATTATGGGTTTGTATGATTGTTACGAAATTAATTAAATATCTTAAAGGCTAACTTTTTTCATACATAAATCTCAAGAAAATTTACCTTTAATTTATATTTGAAAGAATGTTATCCTGAATTCATTAAATAAAATATTTTGTTTTTTAGCTTATGATCCTGCCGGTTTTAATCATAACTCATACCCGCCAGACCAGAGGCTAGACGAAACAGATGCAGAATTGGTCATAGTAATTCATACGGATCCTAAAGTATGGGGTTACAACCAGTCCTGTGGTCATGTTGATTTCTGGATAAACAGTAATCTAGATGTTCAACCTGGATGTACCACCTTAGAAGCTATATTTAGAGGAGCTACTGATATAACAGACTATGGTTAACAATTTTATTCAAATTTTAATTTGAAATAATTAAACTAAGTTTATTTTTAGTTGCATGCAGTCATGTGTACAGTTATCGAGTAGGTGTATATGCTATTTATCATCCAACTGCATATCCAGCTTTAAATTGTACGAGTTACGATGATTATGCAAACGGGCTGTGCAACAATAACGATCTCCAATATGTTGGTGATCAAGTTACTAAATCGTAAGTTGAACAATAAAATATAACCTATAGTACTATAGTACTTTATTTAGAAGTTAAATGTCTGAGGGCCGGTTTATCAATGTCTAGTTTAAGTTGCAGTTAGTTATCTGGTATATAAAGTTTTATGGATTGTCCTCACAACGATCGATATTGAATTTAACTGTCAGATAGACTAACTGGAACCTAACCAGAGATTAATAAACCGGCCCTGACTCGTCTTCAAAGTACGCTTCTTCCCAACACACACAATTATCCCAACAACTACATTGATTAGGTTGGAGAAAATTCGAGTTAAAGAAATACACGTTGGGGTTATAGAAATATTCTAGTTATAAAAAATTGAAAGATATAATATAAAAGTAAAATGGAATGAAATTATAATAAAGGATAAAAATATTGTAATTGTAATTAACCCTTTAACGTGCAGTGGTCGATATTAGGACCACTTATTTTTAGAGCGTTTCAGAGCGGAACTAAAACTGAAAATCGACCACAAACTTATACCGCGTGCTGCTGGCCGACTTTGAATCGAATATTCGTCCACATAATAAAATGCGCGCGAAAAATCGGATAAGTGGTTGAAAAATCAACCAATGCGCGTTAAGGGTCTTCGGCTGGCAGTGAGAAGTTATTTTCGAAGGTGTAACGTTTAATCGATCCTATAAGGGCATTGAAAACTACCATATTACGGTAAGTAACTGATAAACAAAGCATTATTTTCCATAATTTGCATGTACCGTATTATTCGTAAGCATTTTCGAGTACCTAATTCCTAATTTTATTTTTATAAACTCATTTTTCGCCGTAACATCATATCTTATTTTTTCGATTTTTTCATTATTGTTGAAGATTACATTAAGTGTAATAGCCTATTTATGTTTACAAATGTCCCAAAATTCAAATTTACATAAGTTTATTTTCTGAATATTTTGCGCACAGAAAATATTTCCAGCTAAATGTGTATAATGTCAAAATCTATTCCAGTATTTACACTATTTTACACATTATTGTTATGGTTTGCGTAAAGGCACTTTTTTGTAATACATATGTATACATTGGCAATTAGCAAAGTCTAAGAAGTTGGACTTGAATCGTCTGGATCAATTAGATCCAGAAAGTGTGTTTGATTGGTTGAAGGGGATAACTGATGAACAGGCAAAAAATTCTGACTTCGATGGAGACAGCAACGCTGAAGACCAACCAATAAAGGGCACTTCAGTCGATGTGTTTATTGCAGCACATCTAAGAAAACAAAAAGTTCTCAAAAATTGCTTGTAGACAATGCAAAGTAGGTTTGTGCTTGGAGTATTTTGCACCTTTCCATGAAACATAAAACTCATAAAAGTGTGTTTATTGCAGCACATCTAAGAAAACAAAAAGTTCTCAAAAATTGCTTGTAGACAATGCAAAGTAGGTTTGTGCTTGGAGTATTTTGCACCTTTCCATGAAACATAAAACTCATAAAAGGTGCAAAACACTACTATTGTAAATTTCAAAGTATTACCGTTGACTCTTCGCAAAGATTTGAACCTTTAGAAACTGTGAACGTTCGAAAATGTTCAGTGTTGAAGGTAATGCCTAACGTTGCAATAATTGCCCACAATGTGCCTAAATCCTAATATATAAATGTTTTTTTTTTAAATATTTTTGTTCAAAATAAAGTTTCTGACATAATGCCTTTGTTTTATTGATATTATTTTTTGTTTTATACCACTATAATAATAAGTGGTCGAATAATAGAATATAAACTTTGTAGGTCGACCACCTCCTGTAGGGTCTAGGGTCAATTTTTGTAAAAAAAATTTCAGATAAAAAACGTCCGCAACAAATGTCTTAAACCGTAAATGCAAAGAAAATTTTCTTTTTAAGTAAAAAATAGTAGGTACTACTGCACGTTAAAGGGTTAAAAACAAATTTGGTGTTGCAATTAAAATATTTTTTTGTTTAAAGAATCTGTAAAAATTACACCCCGAGTGATAAAATAAAATATAACACCACGGCAAAAAATGAAATAAATACTTACGGTAATAAAGCTCATTAATTTAGTAACTAGGGTACTTAGGTACTTTTGAGGTGTTGTATTCTTAGGGAAAGTATTAAAAGGGAAATAATAAATACAGTAAATAAACGACAATAAATCACGTTTGAACTCAGGTGCAAGACCTGGAAGGCTCCCGTTTATTTTTATATAATTATCTCTCATGAAACCTTCCAAAATGAGGTATTATGGGAGTGAGTTAAACGTATATACGTTGTATATAGAACACTTAAAATGATGTAATTTATTTGAACAAAGCAACAACAGTAACCATAACCCAAACGACATTTAAGTTATTTTCTGAAAGAGAACTCTGAAAGAAAGGGACATCCTACAAACCCTTAAAACCACACAAAATCCTCATACTCTGCAACCATAACCCGCATATAAAATAAATAAATAAATATAGTAGATAGATAATACATCATACTCTGCTCGTTGATGCTCCTCGTTTTAATTTTTAGTTTGTTTGTTGGGTAAAAGAAGATTGAGTCTTAGTCTCTATTTTTGTATTTTAAATGTAACTTTATCCGTCAAGAATTTTATATCCGTCGTCCGTAAAAAGTTTTTATAAATGTTGAATTTAAGTTTACTGTTACATAATTATTCATGGATTAATTATTATAGTTCAGGCTCAATCTACATACTATTAGAAAAAGGAGCAAATAAATAATCGACTTCGAGATTGCTCCAATTGTGGATTCGCAATTGTCTATTATGCTTCATTTATCGGCAAGCTGTAATAAATTAATAATTACCATAAAATAATGACATAAATAACAAAGACAATGTCTGCGTCTGCATAGTCAGATGAAACCAGACCTCTACGCACCTCTTAAAATTTACAGCATAGTATTTCAAGATGGGCTTTTTGTGTCAGGATACCGCGGCCAGTGCTCATAAATTAAATGTTGCTATTGTACAATCAATGTCGCTACTAACTCCAAATGTAATACCAAATAATTAAATATAACTGGTAAAAATCACTTAACTAATTACGGGAGATAAATGTACAATTTAATAAATAAAATAAAATATATATAATAAATCGTTATCAAGTACATTTAATTTACGTAGCGTTTATGGTTAAGTATTTATTAAAATATTTATATAAAATCAAGTACAACCCTGACCTTTTAATTCAATAAAATCAAGTACAACCCTGCTCTTTTAATTAAATAAAATAGTACAAAATGTTTACCTGTTTTTTGTTACACCCGTTTTTCTAGAATGCCCGATCTTCCCTTCCCGTCTTGATTGTGGTCTCCTTCCCCCTTCCTTTTACCCCTCAGCATTCTATGCCAAGTGCTCGGCATTCTACGTCAATTACCAACATTAAAATTGCCAGATTTAAATGTTAGTTTATTTAAATGATTTTTTGAATAAATTTTAGAATTGTAATAACCCACAGATTGTTTATGTTTATGGGGGGTATATGTTTATTATTGTTTATGTTTTGTGGGGTACATGCAGATCTCCTCAGATGTCATGTAACATTTAAGTAAAAAAGAACAAACTAAATTGTTGTTGCAAATAAAAGTAAATTTGGTATTGCAATTAAAATATTTTTGTCCTTTATTATTAAAAATATTACTTAACCCCTTCATCCACTGCCCCTTCAGTTATGGGGATATTTTAAATGCAATGAAACTTATATCTGCAGACAGGGCCGGCAGCTTTTCATTTTGACGTGTGGTGCTCATCTACACTTGTTGATAGCAGTGGTTAATGGATGGGGGGCAGTGGCGCCTGGTGGATTTTGGGTATAACGATATCTCAATTATTAGATATGGGACCCACACCAAATTTATATGAGTTTATGAGTTTATATGAGTTTACATTAAATAAACAAGTTCTGCTCAAGCAGAATTTAATTTAAAGTTTGCGATAAAAAGATAAATATTTGCTCGGCTGTACCGGCCCCATGGCGCCCCCAATAAATATAATACATATAAATTTAATTGGTGCAATTTATTATTTACCATAATTTTTCGACAATTTTCAAATTTCATTTAAAAAATCCAAATTATACCGATTTTATACCATTTTAAATTTTTAATATTTCTTTTCAAAGAAATAATAAAAATTTAAAATGATATAAAATCTGTATCATTTGGATTTTTTAAATAAAATTTAAAATTTGTTGATAAACTATGGTAAATAATAAATTGCACCAATTAAATTTATATTACCTATATTTATTTGGTGTGGGTCCCATCTAATAAATGAGATATCGGTATACCCAAAATCCACCAGCCGCCACTGATGGGGGTGTGGGTGTTCTTTTCCTTGGGGGTTGCGGGAAGGAGAACAAAATAAAATTGGAATAGTTTTTTAGTCAATTTATTTATCAAACTCAGTCACATTTTATATACAGGGAGCTCCCTAGAGCACACTACCAATTTTAGCACTAAAATATCCCCCCCGGAATGATTAAATTTAGTTTATATAGTTTTTTCGACAGTGCTTATTACGCGAGATATTTTAAAGTTTCAAGTTAAAAAACTCACCCTGTAATGGAATCGAATGGGATAGGACAGTAATATACCTGGTATATTACTGCCACATCGGACGTTTTAAGGATTACCACCTGCCATTTCTTGGATTAAGGGTTACCAGCATAAAAAATACGGGTTTAAAATAATCGTTCTAGATTTTGTTACGAGAGACAATTAAAACAGAGTTACTCTAGGATTCGAACTAACTTACCTTTGTTGATAAAAAGTCGGGTATCTATCCACTAACACAATTGGTGGTAGCAAACAGGAACTCAGAGATAATAAACAAACTGCACGAACTGTAAATAATAATAATAATATCAGGATACACACATGTGTATCCTGTAATAATATTATAACTCAAAGTTTGGTCGGTTACCGTCGGTATAGTAGAAATCAGGGGGGTGAAACATAAGCGGGGGAATTGGAAACATGACTCCCCCACGATGCGTTGCCAGTTCGTG